ACATTCAGGTTATAGCATGAAAAAATAATGATGCCAAGAACTGTTTCTGAATAAGTATGCCAGATTTTAAATAAATGTTATATATTTATGAGAAGAATTTGGTGTCAGAAAATAAATACAACAGCTGCTTTTTAATGATATGTAGAAATTTTGCTTCTAATCTGTTACATTTAATAGCACAATACATTGGAAATAATGTACTACTAAGTATTCATGTTACTATGCATTTTTGCAAAATAAGCATCACTAGAATAACTCATGCTTTATGTTTTTGAAAATAGATTGGCACTTTTTTAGTGAGCTCATTTCTTTCTCTAACATGTTCCCCTATCAAATAACCTTGAGCTTGGTTAGAGGAAAGGTTTCCACTTTTGTTTCTTAACTCTTCAAGTTAGCCTTCCATATCTCTGTAATACAAGTAAAACATTTTGCCTCTGAGAAGTGACACATCAAGAGTAGAAACCAGGGATTAATCCCCACTTTTTAAAAATACTTCAGTGGAGAATACAATCATCATTGCTAGAATAAACAACAAATCCTACCACATTAAGTGCTTAAGACTGTATTGTAAATGGTGGCACTATTGGCAATAGCACTATCCATGCATACCTTTGTGGTTACGGTATTAACATTTTGTTTCATATGGGAAATAAATTTTATTTATTTCTTAGAGAATCTTTCACATATTTCTTAAGAAATCTACCATAAATATTCATCACTATTTATAATCTAGGTTCAATAAAAACTTATTTTAAAATGTCATTTTAGGAATCATTTCAGGGCTATTACAATCACCAAAGGTATTCAACAAATTGGGAAGTATTATGTATTATAAATGACGGAATATTGAGTAAGAGCAGGAGCAGTCTGATTTGTTATTACTTGGATGAACTCCTATTTTCTACCCAGCTCTGTGGCATGGTACTCTAACTAGAACAGACTAACTGTAAAATCAGTAGCTTTATTAATAGAGAACATCTGATAGGAGTTTAATTTCCAAAATATATAATAAACTCAGTATCAAAAAATACAAATGCCATGATTAAAAATGAGAAAAATGTATACATAGAGAATCCAGAAAGATGGAATCCGGGAGAGGAAAGCAGCTTCCACACGGAGTGGAAGGGAATAGAGAGAAATGGAGTTTAGGAGGGGAAGACAGGCTTACACCAAGGGAGTGTTTGTGGAAGGGGACTCCAGAAACAGCTAACTCTCACACTGAGTGCAAGAATCCAGGAGAGGAAGGAGATTCCACACTTCGTGGAAGGGAATAGAGAGAGATGGAGTTTAGGAGGGGAGACGGAGACAGGCTTCCACAAAGGGAGTGTTCGTGGAAGGGGACTCCAGAGGGGAAATCCAAGATAGAGAAAAACAGCTTCCATGAGCACAAAAGTGTTTGTGGAAGGGGATCCAAACATAGATTTCCAAGAAAATGATTTCTTAAGGTGAAATGAGCTCTTGGGGAAGATACTGTGAACATTATTAAACTGACAGCAATGGATTTATAATACCTGTATGGTAAATATATACAATCCTTATTCATCAATAAAGCTGAGAGGAGAAAAATCATATAATTGAGTCCAGAGATGTTGAATAAAGACATTTTCAGATAAGAAAAATGAAATAATTTATCTGGCAGAGCTGTTTACCAGAAATATTAAAGCAAGAGTTTTAGGCTGAAATGAAATATCACCAGATAATAATACAAGTACATGCAAATACCGAGAGACCACCAAAAATATAAATATTTAAAAATATATATTTATATATTTAAATATAAATATATATTTTAAATGTTTTATGTATTTATATTAAAAATGCAAATATATAAAAGTCCATATACTTCTTTAAGTTCTTTATAAGTAATAAAATTGTATGAAAAATTAATTTACAAGTAAGTTTATAACATATATAGATGTAATGCACAGGCATAACTACTATTGTGCTTTGTTTTGTTGTGTGTTAAAGTTACTGTGTTATGCTCTGGTGTCTCTTCATAATGAATACATCTTTCGCCTTTTTTCTAAAGTTACTGTGTTTTGTTTTTTTTCACAAGCTGAAAGTTTACGGCAAACTTGTGTAGAGCAAGTCTATCAAAACCATTTTCCAACAGCATGTGCTTACTTTGTGTGGCTGCACAGACTAAGAGATGATTTTTGCAATAAAATATTTTTCAATTAAGGTATATACATTGTTTGGTTTAGACATAATCCTAGCATAGTTAATGGAATACATTATAATGTAAAAATAACTTTTATATACTTTAAGAAACAAATAAATTGGTGTAACATGCTTTATTGTTATATGGCAAGCTTTATGCAGTTGTCTTCAATCAAAGCCTCAATATCTCAGAGATACACCTGTGCATGACAATAATAGCCAAAAGGTGAGGAAGAAGAAATGGAGCTATATGGAAGCATATTCTCCATAGCTGAAATAATTAAAGCTACTCTTATTCTTAAACTGACTGTTATATTTTAAGGTTAATATTGTTGTTCCCAGATCAATCACTAAGAAAATAAATCAAAATTTATAGTGGATTTGAATCGATCTTTCTCCAAAGGAGACTAAAAATTATACTTAAAAATGTCAAGACCACTATCCACTATGAAAATGCACAAGAAAACATTACTTTTCAAGCACTAGAATGGCTTTAATAAAGCAATAGGCAAAAGACAATTTATGCTTATACATTATTTACAAAAAATGTATCCAGTATATGATTCTGTTAACTTTTTATTTTAATGAGCACTTCTATATAAAATAAGCTCTCAAACATAAAATCCAAAGGCCAAATCCAATTGAATAAATTCTCTGCAATTGCCAGTTCCATCCTTTTAGGAAGTTCTGGAAGTGTAAGTGATTACATGTGAATTCATCAGGTTGAAATTTCTGTTTTTACCCACTTCCTCATATACAAGGAGCTTCCAATTTGAGTCACCATTATCATTAATAATAGTACTATAGAGATGTGAAGATAATTACCATCAATCTCCCCTATATGGCAAGTTATTGCTTGTATCTGAGATGGAACTTATAAATTTCCCTCTCAATTTGTGCCTTTTTCAAAAGCAGGAAAGAATCATTAGTCAATGTGATTTACAGGGTATAGAAATATTTTCAGTCTTGGTTTATACAAAAACTCAGTGACAAAAATTCAATTCTAATAGGACAATCAGATCATTTATCTCCAGATCTTGCATTTATTGTCTAGAGAATAAGGTCTTATTTTATTTCAAATGTTAGTTTACTAGATTTTTATAATGTTTATGCACCTCTGGAAATTATGAAGAAAATTCTAGGAGTTAGAGATAATTTATGAGGAAGGAGAGAGTGGGGATTCTTTCTGATTATTCTCAAATTTTTCAAATGTGTACACATGGCAGTCTCAACTAAATTTAGGTAACTGTTGATGAGGCACATTATTTATTATTTTATTTTCCTTTCAAAATCCTGGACTGTGCAAAGATACTTTCCTAAACTGAGGAAGTGCATGATGATTGATCTTAGAAGATTAAAAATTAATAAACTCGTTCTGAGATAATCAGTATGAAGGGGCAAATCAGGCTGTCCAATATTGTTCTAGTGTAGGGATTTGTAACCATTTTCACACCAAAGACTTGAAAAATCTAGTGAAGTTTACAGATTCATTCTCAGTATATGATTTTTACAGAAGTAAAACATACATAGCCTATGATTTTCCACTTTTATATGTACAGTTTAGTAGTGTTAAGATCTCCAGAATGTTTTTTCATGCAGAATTGAAACTCCATATGAATTAAACAACAAAGCCTTTTTCTCCCTCTTCCCAAACCCTGGTAACAACTATTATGCTTATGCTTTCTATATCTACACTGAAAGTAGTGTTGCTATGAACATGCACATACAAATATCTCCTGGAGAACCTCACTTAAACTTTGATGGATAAATACCCAGAAGTATCATAATGGTATTTGTATTTTTGATTTTTTGAAGAAGTCAATATTCTTCTCCATAAAGGTTGCACCATTTTACAATCCAACCAACAGTGCACAAGATTTTCAACTCATCCATATCCCTGCTAACACACTTGTTACTTTCTGGTTTTATTTGTTTTTGATAGTTTCTACACCAATGGATGTGAGGTGATATCTCACAGTAAAACGTATTTCTCTGATGATTAGTGATACAGAGCATCTTTTTGTTTTTCCGGACTTTGCATATCATCTTTGGAGAAATGCTTATTCAAGTTTTACCCACTTTGAATTGGACTACCTGACATTTTGTTCTTGAATTGTAGGAGTTCTTTATATATGCTAGATATTAACCTCTTATCAGCTATGTGGTTTGCAAATATCTTCTCCCATTTCATGAGGTCTCTTTTTACTCTGTTCATGATATCCCTTGACAAACAATAACTTTTAAGTTTGATGAGGTCTCATTGGCTTATGTTTGCCTTTATTGCCTGTGTGCTCACTATGATTTTTGTATATTTGTAAAATAAAATTCTTAGGATCACAAATATATTTAATTATTTTGAAACATATTGGTCAGACTATAGAGACTGCAAAATTCAGCTATGTATGTGATAATATTGATACATCACATGATGAAGTCTTAAGGCAGGACTAATAAGTAGCAAAACATACCAGTAGTTTTGTTTGTACATGTGAAGCAGGTTTACTCTGCACTCGTTCCCAATTTGCTTGAGTCTGATGAGATAGAACACTTAGACATAATGAGTTATATGAAGTAGATTTGATACTTACAAATAGACATAAAAGACAACAGAAGCATAGTACTGCTTGTAAGCCAGCCTGCTATGGCTCAGGAAAGTTGCCCAGCGTGGATAGAGTATTATCTGTGCTTACCCTAATTAGACCACAGCTGAGAGGTCCTGGAAACCAGCACATCCTTGATTTTATAACCCCAGAGTTCCATGGATCACTAAGTTAAAGCATTGAAGGACATTCTGTTTCTAGGGCAGGACCGGGAAAGAGACCAGGCTGTTCCAGAAAGTTCTGTCTTATTTTAGGACACTGCATTCATAGCACATTCTACAATTATTCTTGAGAACTGTGAGAAAATGGGGAAAAATGGGTTGGTGTAAGGTCACTCAGAGAATTATTCTCCAGTCAACAAATATATCTGCAGCAAGGTAGTGTGATATAAAAATGCACAAAATTTTATTTGGTGACAGGCACTCTAATACTACTTTGTATTGTTTGCATATACCTAAGATACAGGAAATTTCAGTTAGCTATTAGTGAACACCAAGATTCAACATAGGTTAAACCCCATTGTGAAATACTGAAATACTAATTTTCCCCCACCACACACCCCTATTATACTCCTCAAGGGCCTTCTATCCAGTATTGTCCAAAACAAATTCCCACACCTAAGGACCTTGGAATCAATATGGTGCAGAAGACAGGCTGCATAGCAGAAGAAACAACTCTGTCAACATGTTTATTAAAAAGTCCTTTAGGTGTCAAGCTTATTTTACTGACAATAATTAATTAAATTAAATTAACTTTACAAATACACATATTTTGAAAATTTAAAAAATATTTTGCAATATTATTTTCTTATGGATTTTAATAACAATAAACATAAAGATTTAAGGCCATTTAATAAAATACACTTTCACAATACGTGAGTACTTAGCCTGGCCAATCCCCATATTGACAATTAAAAAGTAATTCCTTGCAAGAAAGAAAATTTATAAAGGAGATATAACTAACACATATGTCTTATTCCTTGGAAACCGATTCAATCGGAGAACCAAGAAATACTGACTAAAATAAAAGTTTTCATGCTTTATGAACCAGGGAAAATGGAGTGAATTAAACACAAAACTCCAGGAGCTACTTCTATTGAATAAAGCAGCAGGGATTCTTCAGTTGGTCAGTTGCCCTAATGAATGGAGTCTATAATTAAATCAAGACCCTAATAAAATGACTTTTATAATGAAAGAAAACGGCCGACAGGCAATAAGACCTGTGTAAATAAGTCTTAAAAGCTTATCAAAACAGAAGAACAATATTTTCAAAGGAACTTTGTAAAAATATAATTTACAGAAATAATCGAATTATGAGCAGCCATACTAAGAGGGCAATTTAATTGCCCTTGACCTACTTTAGCAATTGAGTCCTTCTTGATATTTCTTCTCTTTTAGAGATTTCTCTCCATTTTATGATTTCTTTTTCTGAATTAAAGTGTAAGGTTACATCACCTATACCTTATTATTTTTATTTGATATTTAATTTAAAAGGGTTTATAAGGCTAGAGTTAGCATTATGTATATATATATATATACACACACACACCCACATACATACATACATATATATATACATACATATCTGTATGTACTTAAAAACAGTACACACACATATAGATATATAACTTACCTACACATAATGTTTAAGTCATATTAATTAAAATAAAAATTTCTTTGGTAAAGTTAACTTCTCTGAAATTAACACAGCTTCACAGTAAAAAATAAAGAGGGGATACTGTTAAAGAGTATTTTTAATGTCCTTAAATAACCAACTTACAATGCCCATAAAATCAGTAATAGGCGGGTGGGCACTAGGCGTTGCGATGGAGGAGAGCGGGTACAAGTCGGTGCTATGTGTCAGGCCTGACAGCCACGTCTACTGCATCCTTCCGTGGGCTACCAACCATGGCTACAGGGCTGCGGAGTGGCAGCTTGACCAGCCATCATGGAGTGGCTGGCTGAGGATCACTGCAAAGGAACAGATAGCCTACATCAAGCTGGAGGACAGGACCTCAGGGAAGCTCTTTGCTCAGGCCCCAGTGGATCAGTTTCCTGGCACGGCTGTGGAGAGTGTGATGGATTCCAGCAGGTACTTCGTGATCCCCATTACAGATGGAAACTGGCAATGGGCGTTTATTGGAATTGGCTTAGGGGACCGAGGTGATGATGACTTTGACTTCAGTGTTGAATTGCAGGATCATTTCAAGTGGGAGAAACAGCAGTGCGAATTTGCAAAACAAGCCAGACGAAAGCCCCAAGTTGGACCTGGACTTCAAGGAGGGCCAGGCCATCAAGCTCAGCATTGCAAACATAAAGAAGGAAGGAGCAGCTGGGAATCCCTGAGCTAGCCTGCCAGCACAGGAGGGTTGAGCTTGCTTCCCCCTCCCGCAGAGGGCAAAACCTCCACCATCATCTCTCCCCATGGGGAGCAGTTGCCGGTGGGGGGGATCCCTTGTCCAGCCAGTAGTTGCTCCCACTTCAGGAGGTGCTTCTGTACCCTGGCCACAGCCAAAGCCTGCCACTGCTGCCACCACTGACATCTGGGGAGACTTTACCAAATCGACAGGATCAACTTCCAGCCAGACCCAACCAGGCTGGGTCCAGTTCTGACCTGAGCACAGTTTTTACTCATGTGACTTCTGGGAAGGAGCTCCCTCATCTGGACCAAAGGAAGGAGGGCAAAGCATTCCTCAGCTTACCTGTGTTTGGAGCATGAATCTCTCCTCTCTCCTTGCCTGTCTCTGTTGACAAACTGAGCATGTTTGTCAGTAAGTTGGCATTGTGTCACACTGTTTCCTGGGATTCAAGTATGCAACCAGTACACAGAAGGAAAGCTCCAGGATCCCTGTCCCTGTCTGTCCTCTTGACATGAGAGAGACTCTGAGACTTCTTCTATCGCAATGATGTGTATTAAGCACGAGCCCCCAAAGCAAAATAATGGGTTAAGTTTGCTGCCTGGATTCAGATCAGCCCTTCTAGGGTCTGCAGGTGTCATGTGATCACTGTTCAGTGGGGGGCTCACCAATTCACAACGCAGCTCCTGGCAGACTTGGGTTTCTCTGGTGGTTTTTAAAGTGCCTTATCTGCAAACAACTTCTTTCTTTTCTCCTTCAGGAACTGTGCATGACTAGCCGAAGGAGCTCAGTAAACTAGAAGTCCAGGTTTGCTTGGATTACTGGCTTGTAAGAAATCTGACCACACCTCTGAAATTCCGTTTATCAACTTACCTCTCAGTTGAAAGATTTCTTTTTTCAAGGGTCAAGACTATGAACTGAAATAAGTGTTGACCTTTTTGTGGGACCAGATTTTTAAGATAAAATAAATATTTTTACTTCTGTCGTTGCATGTGAAAAAAAAATCAGTAATAGGCAAGTTTGTTCTGAAATTTATAAGTTAAAACGAACACAAAGAAAACAAACTTCAAACAGACATGTTGAAATCATTCAGCCAATGTATTCGATGTTACTTGCCGAATGACATTTATTTCATTTACTTTAATATGTAGTGTATATGCTTCCTATGAGTGCTAATTCCCCTAACATAATAACTATGTATTTATATATCGCTTTTGTAGATCGTATTTCAGGTGAGCTGGTAGAGCTACTCCATAAGTGGAAACATTTCTTATACAGGTGACTTTTCTATGCTCATACATCAAACATTGCATGGGTGAAAGTTTGCTCTTGAGTTTGTATGTGTGAAAAGTTTCTTTAAAATTGTCACATTGTAGCCAACTCCCATGGGGAGGTGACCAGCGCCACAGTTGCAGCTGCCTGCTGTGTAAGCCATTTGAGCTTCTTGGGGAAGGGAAGCCGTCAGCACTGGGACTCACAACTTCCTAACACACTAAGCTCCCTGGGCAGGGGAAGGACGGCATTCATCTCTACAGTTCCAGGCTGTGCTTTTCCTCTGCTGGAGCCAGGGAGGCTGGATGGCTTGGTCCCAAGATGTGTCCCCTACAGCCCAACACATCAGCTGAGGAAGACTGCAGCCAGAGTGCCTCTTCAGGCCTGACTCTGACTTATTCTTTCTCATTGGGTGAAGCTTCCATGCAGGAACTTCTGCAACTCCAGCCAGACATTCAGGGACAGAAACCAGAACTCCCTGGGCCTGATTCCCCGTAGGATGGGTGGCCACAGACTTTGTGGACCAGCAGACTTAGCCTTTCCTCCTGTTAGTTCTGAGGCATCTAGGCAGCCTAGATGAGTTTTTTCTCCCCAGTAAAGCACACACCCTCCACCAAAGACAAAGTGCTTCGTTAAACATGTCCTGTTCCCTGTGTCACCCAACTGGGTGAGACCCTTCAACAGTCACTCATCTTTGCTGTACTCCAGCCTCCTTGAGTGACATCTCCAGGAGTGGGAACAAACCAGTAGAGCAAACCAGTGGGAGCCTGGAGTGAACCCCCAGCAAACTGCAAAAGCCCCACAGAAGAGAGACATGGCCATTGAAAGAAACACAAACAGAGAGCAACAATAAGAAAACAAACATATCATCAACAACAAGAAAAAAGACCCCACAAAAACCCCATCAGAGAGTCAGCAGCCTCAAAACTAGACAAACTCACGAAGATAAGAATCAACAAAAAAAATGCTGAAAACCCAACAGGAGATAGTGCCTCTTCTCCAAATGATTACAACATCTCTCCTGCAAGATCACAGAATTGGACAGAGGATGAGATGAATGAATGGACTGAAGTAGGCGTCACAAAATGGGCAATAAAAAATTACCATGAGCTAAAGGAGCATGTGCTAACCCAATGCAAGGAAGCTAAGAACTTTGATAAAAGGCTAAAGGAGCTGCTAACTAGAATAACCAGTTTAGAGTGGAACATAATGACTTGATGGCGCTGAAAAACACAGCATGAGAACTTCATGAAGCATACAAAAGTATCAATAGCTGATTCAACCAAGTGGAATAAAACATGTTAGAATTTGAAGAACACCTTACTGATATACAACATGCAGACAAGATCAGAGAAAAAATAAAAAGAAATGAACAAAGCTTCCAAGGAATATGGGACTTCATAAAACGACTGAACCCATGATTGATTCGAGTACCTGAAAGAGATGAAGAGAATGGAAACAAGCTGGAAAACATACGTCAGGATATTATCCAGGAGAACTTCCCCAACCTAGCAAGACAGGCCAACATGCAAATTCAAGAAATGCAGAGGACACCACTAAGATACTACGAGAGAATATCATCCCCAAGACATGGTACCATTATATTATCCCAGATTGAGAAAAAGAAAAAAAATGTTAAGGGCAGCCAAAGAGAAAAGCCAGGTTGCCTACAAAGAAAAGCCCATCAAACTAACAGTGGACATCACAGTAAAAACTGTATAAGGCAGAAGAGATTGGGGGCCAATATTCGACATTCTTAAAGGAAAGAATTTTCAACCCAGAATTGCATATCCAGCCAAACTAAGCTTCATAAGCAGGGAGAAAGAAAATCCTTTTCAGATAAGAAAATCCTGAAGGATTTTATTATCACCAGGCCTGTCTTGGAAGAGCTCCTAAAAGAACTAAATATGGAAAGGGAAAACCAGTACCAGCCACTGCAAAACCCTACCAAAATATAAAGACCAATACACTGTGAAGTAACTGCACCAACTAGTTTGCAAAATAACCAGATAGCATCATGGTGTCAGGATGGAATTCACTTATAATAATACTAATCTTAAATGTGAATGCACTAAATGCCCCATCAAGAGACAGACTGGCAAATTGGAAAGAAGTCAAGACCATTGGTGTGCTGTATTCAGGAGACCCATCTCACGTGCAAAGAGGCACATAGGATCAGAATAAAGGGATAGAGGAAAATTTACCAAGCAAAAGAAAAACCAAAAAACAAAAAGGAGGGTTTCATTCCTAGTTTCTGTCAAAGCAGACTTTATACCAACAAAGATCAAAAAAGACAAAGAAGGACATTACATAATGGTAAAGGCAACAATTCAACAAGAAGAGCTAACTATTCTAAATATATATGCACCCAACACAGGAGCACCCAGATGTATAAAACAAGTACTTAGGGATATGCAAAGAGACTTTGACTCCCACACAATAATAATGGGAGATTATAACACCCCATGGTCAATGTTAGATCAACAAGCCAGAAAATTAACAAGGATATTCAGGTCTTGAACTCAGCTCTACAGACATCTACAGAACTCTCCACCCCAAATCAACAGAATATAAATTCTTCTCAGAGCCACATGCCAATGAATCTAAAACTGTCCACATAATTAGAAGTAAAACACTCCTGGAAATGAAAAAGAAATGAAATCATAACAGTCTCTCAGACCACAGTGCAATTAGTTCTAATTAGAACTCAGGATTAAGGCACTCACTCAAAAACACACAATTACATTGAAATTAAACAACCTGCTCCTGAATGACTACTGAGTAAATAATAAAATTAAGGCAGAAATCAAGAAGTTATTTGAAACCAATGAGAACAAAGAGACAACATACCAGAATCTCTGGGACACAGCTAAAACAGTGTTAATTGGAAATTGATAGCAGTAAATATCCACATCAGAAAGCCAAAAAGATCTCATATAGATACCCTAACATCACAATTAAAAGAGCTAGAGAGGCAAGAGCAAACTAGTCCAAAAGGTAGCAGAAGGCAAGAAATAATCAAGATTACAGCAAAGTTGAAGGATATAGAGACATGAAAACCCTCAAAAAATTCATTTACTCAAGGATCTGGTTTTTTGAAAAAAAAATAGCAAAACAGATACACTTCCAGCTAGACCAATAAAGAAGAAAAGACAGAAGAATAAAATAGACACAATAAAAAAATGATAAAAAAAATTCTAACCCCACAGAAGTACAAACTACCATCAGAGAATATTATAAACACTTCCAAGACTAATCCAGGAGGAAGTTGAATCCCTGAATAGACAAATGACCAGTTCTGAAATTGAGGCAGTAATTAATAGCCCACCAACCAAAAAAAGTCCCAGACCAGACAGATTCACAGCCACATTCTACCAGGATTACAAAGAGGAGCTGGTACCATTTCTCCTGAAACTATTCCAAACAATTGAAAAGGATTGATTCCTCCCTAACTCATTTTATTAAGCCAGCATCATCCTGTTACCAAAACCTGGCAGATACACACACACAAATAAAACTTCAGGCCAGTATCCCTGATGAACACTGATGCAAAAATCCTCAATAAAGCATTGGCAAATTGAACCCAGCAGCACTTCAAAAAACCTACTCACCATGATCAGGTAGGCTTCATCCCTGGGATGCAAGGCTGGTTCATCATATGCTAATCAATAAACATACTCCATCACATAAACAGAACCACAGACAAAAACTGCATTATTATCTCAATAGAGCAGAAAAGGCCTTTGATATAACTCAACATCCCTTGATGTTAAAAACTCTCAATAACTAGATATTGATGGAACATATATCAAAATAATAAGAGCCATTTGTGACAAACCCATAGCTAATATTATATTGAATGGGCAAAAGCTGGAAGCATTCCCTTTGAAAACTGGTACAAGACAAGGATGACCTCTCTCACTACTCCTATTCAACACAGTATTGGAAGTTCTGGCCAGGGCAATACATCAAGAGAAAGAAATAAAGGGTATTCACATAGGAAGAGAGTAAGTCAAATTGTCTCTGTTTGCAGACAACATGATTTTATCTTCAGAAAACCCCATCATCTCAGCCTAAAACATCCTTAAACTGACAAGCAACTTCAGAAACTCTCAGGACACAAAATCAATGGTGAAAATCACAAGCATTGTTTTATACCAACAATAAACAAGCAGAAAGCCAAATCATGAATGAACTCTCATTCACAATTGCTAAAAAGACACTAAAATACCTAGGAATACAGCTAACAAGAGATGTGAAGGACCTCTTCAAGGAGAACTACAAACCACTACTCAAGGAAGTAAGAGAGGACACAAACAAATGGAAAAACTTTCTATCCTTAATGGAGAGTAATAATCAATATTGTGAAAATGGCCATAAGGCCCAAAGTCATTTATAAATTCAATGCTGTTTCTGTCAAAATACCATTAACATTCTTCAAATAATTAGAAAAAACTACTTTAAATTTCATATGCAAGTAATTGCTTGTTATTAGAACAAGGGGATACCTATGTTAAAATTGTTTTCACAAGAGATTTTGCATAGCACTTCTACAGAGTATGTATGAGGCTCTTTAAATTCAAGTAATAAGTTGGTATTATTATATTTCTTAGATGTTTCCAATCAAGTAGGTGTGAAATAGTATCACATTGTGGCTTACTTTACATATTCCTGATTACTAATGAGGTTGAGCATCTGTTCTTACGTTTACTCAACATATGTTTTCTTTATTTTATTTTTAGTTTTTTGCTGCTATATCTTTTCCCCATTCATCTCTTGCCTTGCTTGTGTTTTTCATATTGATTTATAGAAGTTCCTTATATATGCTAAACGTTAGCTTTTTGTAAAATATGGGAAATCTTTTCAAAGTTTAGTCGTGTTTTACTTTCTTTTCATAAAATAAATTCTTAGTTTCCATGTGGTAAACTTTGTTATTCTTTAATTTTATGGTTAACAGAATTTGTGTTAAGAAACTCTTGTTTAAAAAATTTACTCAGATCTCTAAA